GGCCCCCGCACGCCGCGGCCCCCGCCCCATCCCGCCGGAGCCACGTGAGCGCGGCGACGCCGTGACGCACGACGTCGGCCACCGCCCCCTTTCTCAAGATGGCGTCGCTGCTGCAATCGGAGCGGGTGCTGTACCTGGTGCGCGGCAAGAAGGAGATGCGGGCGCCGCTGTCGCAGTTGTACTTCTGCCGGTACTGCACCGAGCTCCGCTCCCTGGAGTGCGTCTCGCATGAGGTAACGGCGGACCGGCAACGCCGCGCCCGCAGACCGGGTGGGACGGGGCGGGACGTTGCTCTCTCTGCGCGCAGCGATTGGGCGGGTCTCCTGCCGCTCGCTCTCCGTCTGCTCTGCTATTGGTTGGTGGCGCGGCTAAGGGGTGGGCACAGCGGTGGCTTCATAGAGCGGCTTGATTGGTAAGCGGGTGAAGGAAAGGGCGGTGTCTTGCATTGGATTGGCTGTGCACGCCTGTCCGTCGGCGGAGTTGGGGCTGTGATTGGCTGAGGCGCCCGTACCAGGGCGTCGGGGATGTCCCCCCACCCAGAACGGCTCCTCCGCGGGGCCCGGCCGGGGACCCCCCCCCCCTCCACGGGCCCAGCCGGGGCGGGGGGACAGGGACCCCCTTCCACGCCCACGTCCCCATCGGGCCCGGCCGGGGAGGGGCAGGGACACCCACCGACCCGCACCCCTCCCTGGGACCCGGCCTGGGGCGAAGACCGAGCAGGGCCGGGAGCTCCCGCAGCGTTCCCGGGCGGGGGCTGTCTCACAGGGGCAGCGCTGCCATCAGACGGCCCCCAGGCCTTGCCGAGATTGGCTGGATGTGGTGGAGCTTGCGGCCCGCGCAAAAACAAAACCCAGGCCTTCAGCGTGCTGAGGCCCGAGAGCATCGTACTTGCTTTGAGAATGAAGTCGGGGTTCAGATTATTTAATGTGAATTTATTTCCACCCAGATGAGCTTTTTTCCCCCACGTTATACAGCGGGGTTTCTGCTGTGGAGGGTTTGTTCTTTGTCCAGGTATGGCTGGAGCCTTGGGCTGTAGGCTGTCGTCAGGCTGGGGCGATGGTCTGCTGGGGCCTGGGGGCCTGCAGGAGCAGAGCAGGGGCGAGCCTCGGTCCTGGGGCTGCTCACGCCACTGCTCAGGTCATCATCGTAAAATGGGTAACATCGATTTTCTATAAGTCTGGGTGAATTAAGAAATGACAGTAGATTTGAAAAGCCCTAAAAGAATGACCATGCAACCCAGATCTCAGAAGAGGTACCTCTTCGCAAATGTCAAAGCCTCTGAAGAGCAGAAAATAGATTTGTCTCCAGGCTGCATCTGTTATGAATCCTCCATAGGGTACAGTCATCGTGCATTTCCATGTTTAACGTCAAGTTTGATTTCCTCTTCAGGAAGGGGACCCCTTCTTGCTGCTGTTGTTTTAATTGGCAAAATTATTTTGTGTCAGCAGACAGATAAAATACATTTTTTAAACACGTGGATTTCTGACCAGTGTAAGTACAAGGGCAGAATAAATGTAGATACAAATGGAAAATAGCATGTTAAAACCTGCTGTTAAAGCTGAAAAATCAAATTCTGGTAACCACAAAATACCCCGTTGTCCTTTTCCTATTTGCTAGGCAGAGTAGTTTATCCTGACTTAAGAAACCTTCTGACTTACATTATTAAAGACCAAAATTTGGCTGAGATGGGCTAAGATTTCAGACAATAAAAAATGTCTCAAGTCTTCACAGACTTCGCCTGTCCGTTGCCAGACACAAAGCCTTGTCAAATCGCACAGCAGAGTCTCAGGCTGCTGCCAGCGTGCTGTCTAGACAAACCCATGCCGGGAAGTGTGATGTGACCGTCTTGTTCATCAGGTGGACTCTCACTACTGCCCCAGCTGCCTGGAAAACATGCCTTCAGCCGAAGCCAAGCTGAAGAAGAATAGGTAAGATCACTTTGGCTTTTTTCGTCAAGACGCACTATTTTAAATGGCTCCTTTCTTAATCAACACCTGATCACACATGTATCTGAAACTCTCTTCAGAAATTACATCGCTTCTTGTTACCTTTTAGTCTGTTTTGGGGAATAAGCGTCTTTCCATGATATATCAGGTGCTTTTCATGTTCTAGTTTTTTTGATGACCTGCTCTCATAATACAAAGGGTTTTTTAGTATCGCCCAGTATTTCTCACTGTCGCCATTCTTGTGTTGACTCTGAACCCCTCCTGTTTCTGTTGATGGCTCTGTCGCCCTTTTTTCCTACTGCTGTTGTATAAGATGAAAAGATCTGTTGGTTTGATCTTGATTTGCCTGTTGAGAGCATTTTCCTCAGCCTGGGATCCCTGTCAGAGCACTCTCTTACAGGCCTTCCTCTTTCCAGGTGTGCGAACTGCTTTGACTGCCCCTGCTGCATGCACACCCTTTCCACCCGGGCCACGAGCATTCCTGCTCCGCTCCCTGACGATCCGGCCAAGACTACCATGAAGAAAGCGTATTACTTGGCCTGTGGATTTTGCCGCTGGACTTCCCGGGATGTGGGCATGGCAGACAAGTCTGTTGGTAAGTGATAGTCAAAGAGAGAAAACTAAATAACAGCAGGAGCCCAGTATGTGTTTTGAAGGTAACAGATAATCAAATTAGTTTCTGGCCGTATGATATACGTGATATATGTCCAGGTTTTGAGTCACAGTTGGAAATTCACAGGAAAATGGTTTGTTGCTGAAGTCTCATCTGAAGAGCTGAGCTGAGTTAGTGGAACATATGACCCACTTCCATGCTTCTGTTACCTGACTAGTGAGAAAGCTGTCAAACGAGGGGCTTGTTTAGTTGGTGCGCTCTCCCCACAGTTGAGGTCTTGTTTGTGTACCTTCAGAGACTTTGAAGCCACTCAGTCTGACAGCGTAAGCATCTAATTTATTTTCTGTCACTTTTGTTCACTCAGGCTTATTCCAGAGTTGCTAGTCAGTGTTTGTACTTGTTTTTTTCTCTTCACAACAGCGCTGGAACAAAACTTTCATCTATTTCTTGGTGCATAAGACATGCAGAAAATATCTGTCAGGCTCCAGAAATGGGGCTGAGTAGACCAAGCAGATCCTCTGACTTCCAGTGTTGATGTGACTGGGAGCTGAAGATGCAGGGACATGGCAGCCAGTAATAAGAGACTGTTCTTGTAAACTCATGTACCTGCTGCTAAAGTGACTCCTAGGTGCTGTCCTGAGTCTCTCTCAAACAGCAGTTGTTTAAAAACACTGTATAAAAGCTGCTGAGGCACCTTCAGCCCAAACCTGCCTGTGAAAAGCTTGCAGAGGTGTATATTTGTGCAGGTGTGAACTTAAAGAATTGCAATGGGAAGTGTAGAAAAACCAGGGAATGTCATATTTCATGAGTAAGACTGAGATAGTTGGGTGTTAGATGTGATTTCTGTGTAGAGTCTGGAAATCTTTTCCTGAGGACTTTGTTTTTTCTCTTTCTCATGCAGCTAGTGGTGGCTGGCAGGAGCCGGAGAATCCTCACACACAGAGGGTGAGTGAGGGGAAAGGCCATGCTTAGGCTGAGGCGCATCAGCTAGAAAGAGCTGTTAGAGACCCCAGGCCCTCTCAATCACTATTTCTGCATTTATATAATCCTTCAAATACCAGTTCCAGTTCCTAATCTCCACCTTGACTGAATTCAATGGAAGGAAGGCCTCTTAGAGGCTCTCCTGTGGATATCGGGGTATAAAATCTCCTTTTCAGAAGAAACTCAGTTGAAAACATCCTATCTAATAGTGCTGTTAAAATGACACCAATGAATATGCTGCGTATGTATGTCAAAAAAGCTGTTTTCCGATCAAGAGTGTGTCTAGGATCTGGAAAACAGAACTGCACTTTTACTGCCCTTTGCTGTCACTGGCTAGGGCTCTACACTAAATGTGATCAGCCTCTGAGGGGGGAAAAGATGCTGTTTGTCCCACTAATCCAAATTGCCCATTTTTGGCCACGTGGCATTACTCTGTCCAGTCATGGCAACTGCCTGAACAAAGTCTCAGTTGCCTGACTGCACAGGGAGAACTGGACACTGCTCTCTGATAGACGCCATTCCCACAGGAGGGTCAGTTTGTCACCTGCAGTTGGGTTAAGAAATGTTAAGACATGCAGGCTTCTTTAACGTATATCCTTCAAAATACAGCTGGTCCTAGGAACGGAGCGAAACGAGTAGCAGGAACCCCAGCTCATTCACAAGCAAATAGCAGCTGATCCGGCATTTGTTCCTCTTTCACTGGGTATCTGTTCCTTTTCATCCCTCCAGATTAACAAACTGGTTGAGTACTACCAGCAGTTGGCTCAGAAAGAGAAGATCGAGCGGGACCGAAAGAAGCTGGTGCGGCGCCGAAACTACATGCCCCTGGCCTTTTCGGTGAGCTGGGATTACGGTGCTCTTGGAGCAGGAAAAGTGCTGCACAACAGCCTCGGCTTGGAAAATTAGATAGTTGGTAGCACGATAGGGCTACTCAGCTTTTTTTTTTTTTATTGAGAACATGAAGAAAATGTGCTAGGGCACATGGGTTTCTTTGGGGACAAGTGGTTTTACACCCATTATTGCGTATTACATTGCCTCTCTCTCTCATAGTCCTCTCTGATAATGCCAGAAGAGTTTACACTTGCTGTGCAAAGGAATATGTTATCCAGCAGTGAAATGCAGTGCAACCGCAGTCACAATACCAGTGGTAGCTCTTTCGCAGGACAGTTGCATACCACAGCTCAGTAACAGTTAGATCAGGATTGTCTGGCGCTTTTCTGCATGAAGTCTCAACTGAAATTAACCTTAAGACTTGGTTGTGGCCCGAATGACTTGTTTATTGTAACTGGCAGGTAAATGCTTATTTCATTTAGCTGGGTGACTCTGCATATGCTTGCTACTTCTCAATTAACTGTGCTTGCTCTGTGCCCTTGCTTGTGTCTTATGGCTGCATTTTTTGTCTCCGTTGCTACCTGCTGCTATTTTGGGGGCTCTCCGCAGCAACACACTATACACGTAGTGGTAAGTCTTTTCACGGTTTCTGCTGGTGTTAAAGCTCTCATGGTACCAACCAAAGGGCAGTAACAGATCCTACTCTTCACCTTGCCTCAGGGCCTCTGACTTGGATGTGCCTAGAACAAATGCACGTGAAGGCTAACTGGTTACAGGGTAACATTTATTACAAAAAAAAAAATATTTTTTGTTAGCTTACAAACAGGGCAGTGTCTTTGGGTAAGTAACGCACACTTGAAAAGCAGTCCTTCACAAAGCTTGGCTGAGACACAGCTGTCTGCCTGCCTGAGGCAGACGGCACTAACATCGATCTTCTGATCCTTGAAAAATCACCAGAGTAGGCTGATGCTCAGATTTCTCATTTGGTGAAAATTCAGGTTTTCAGTAGTGCCCAGAAGGAAGATTTCTGCCTCCAGGCACCCTGTGTACGGTTCAGCTATAGAAAGCTGAGGAGTAGCTCAGCTATTCCTGCTAACTGGTGGTGCCTGGCAAGAGAGACCTGTAGGTAATGAGGCTCATAGGAGGCTGAACCTTCCAGCTGCCTCCAGTAGTGCTACAGAGCGTCTCAGATGGACGCATGCCCACATCGACCCAGTTCTTTTGGCAGCTGAGCTCTCGTTCTGCACTACTTGACATGCAGTTGCTCTGAAGAGAAGATCAAGGGAAGAACGTGTCAGTAGTGCAGGCTAGTGATTTAAGGAAAGAGCAAAAGCTTTATAAGCAGTAGCCACATCTGTCTCTCCCTGTCTGCAGTGTGGTGGTAATTGTTTTCTCCTTACTAACAGTTTGAGCAGGGGAAAAAAAAAGTCTCGGGAAGCATTGAATACCTTTCCCTTTCTGCTTTCCTTTGCTTGTCTCCCTATGCTTGTCATGCAGCTCAAAGGATGAGTTTGCAGGAGGTCTTTTTGTCCTGGCAGGACGTAGATCTGAAGCTGACAGTTCCTTTTTTCCTTGTAGGACAAATATGGCTTGGGAACCAGGCTTCAACGCCAGAGGCCCGGCGCACCGATCAGTGCCCTCGCTGGACTCTCGTGAGTCTCAGGGTTGGGGTTACCTTTGTGGGAAGGATAGGAGGTGTAGGCAACCTCCTACAGAACAGTAAAGCAACTTCAGAAAGATGATGAACGTATTAGCAGATAGCAGTGAAAGGAGCTTTCTTCTTTGGAGTGTTAGAGAGGTGTCAAATGCTCGGGCATCTCTGTGCAGCAGCTCCAGGTGTTTTGCTTTCTCCTAGAAACAAGCGACTGCTGACGTCCTTGTGCAGTTACTGTTGTCTTGCAATCTCGGCTCTCGCTGCCTTCTGTGTTACAATGCAGTTACTGCTGTTGCTGTCTGTCAGAGCACGCGTGCTGTATTTTATGACCAAGTTGTCCCTCACTTTGCTTCAGACTGAAAGAAGGAGAGGACCAGAAGGAGATCAAGATTGAGCCAGCTGATGCAGTGGAAGAAGTGGAACCTCTTCCTGAGGATTACTACACAAGACCAATCAATTTGACAGAAGGTAACACCTTAATATTCTGTCACTTTTGCCCTTACATTTTATAACATGGGCGGTGCCTGGAACCTTGTCAGTGGGGTTCCGAATGGCCTGAGGTTTTAGTAATTTTTATGCTGGGATTGAAATGGTGGGAAATTTGTGACTTCTTAAGTGGTAACTTTGAATGCAGCTTCAGCTTCATGTTGCACATGGAAAGCTCAGAGCCAAATACGTCAGGCCTCTTAACGGTTGCTTCATTTTCTTGCTGACCTTAATTTCTCTGCATGTGAAGTGTCAAGTTTTGGATGGAGAAAAGAGCTGACGTCCTTTTTCAAATAATAGCAGGAAATAAGGAAGTAGCTGAGCTGTTGGGGAGTTGGAACCTTAACTGACCTGTTAAGTAACAATTGCGCATTACTTTGACATCAGCTTGGAACAGCTTGCATACACTTGCCAGTTATTTAGCTGGCTCATGATTTAATCGGCAAATATTGTAAATTGGTCAACAAAACTTGGGAACGAGTGGGATAAAACAGCAGGTACAGGAAGCGATTTGGATGTCCTGCTGAGGTGGCTCTAAGTAGGACAGATGTTCTCGGTAGTCCTGCAGGCCTACAAAGTCTGCCAATATTAATTAATTCATGAAAGGTTTATGGAAAGGGGTAGATCATCTTGGTCTTCTTTTCTCATGAGACTGTCAGCATTGTGAGAATATGATGCTGGTAAAGAAGACAACTTTCGTGGTTCCCCGCAGTGAGGGAAAGGCTGCCAGGTGGCTCACTGCCTATTAGACACTGGGAACAGTGCGGAGCCTGTTTTTTGGGAGAAACCCATGGGAAGTTTGGCTGCTGGAGTTCCTTGCCTTGGGAACTATGTAGTCACTAATTCTATGCATGAGTCTGAGTTACGCAAACTCCTTGCTGAGAAGCTGTATATTGTACTCGTGCAGCACCCAGCTGTGAGGGTAACAAAGCCATGAAAACTGATTTGCCCATGGCAGGGAAAGAACTTATTTTCTAGATGATTCCAAAATTCTGTTTCCATCCCAGCTGAGCTTTGAATAGAGATCAGGGTCCCTTCTTTCTCCTGGGCTGGTACTGATGTTGCTCTAGTGTTACCGTGCCCAGTCAGGGCAGCCCTTTCTACAACTCTTACCTTCATTCATTCACTGCTAGAAATAGTGATACTTGCCAGTGGCTTCTGAAATAATGGGTGCAGGTGAAATTAAGTTTCTTAGAGATTGTAGCATGTCCGCACACAGTGCGTGGCACGCTTGCTCATACGCCAGTGCATGTGTGCAATCTAGCTCGAGTTTCAGTACTTGAGTGAGATATAGTAATGTCTCAATTAATTAATAAAGACAAAATTATTGATCTGGCTTTCTGTTGTGCACCCAGTGACAACTCTGCGTCAGCGTCTGCTGCAGCCTGACTTCCAGCCGATCTGTGCTTCCCAGCTTTACCCACGTCATAAGCACCTCCTGATCAAACGTTCACTGCGCTGTCGGGTAGGTAATTAAATGCAAAAAAGCGCTTTTTCTAGGCTCACAGAACTTGGATTGTGGGAAGCGGGCTGTGTATTTCTTCTTAAAAGAAACTGCTCAGATGCTTCTGGTTGTTGGAAGCTCTCAACCAAATTACTGGTAAGAGCACTAGGAGATGAGGGAGGCTGTCGCATCTCTGACATGACGAAGATTGTGGAAGGGAGACAACATTGTCAAAGATGCATAAAGATACAAAGGTGGGTTTGTGTGGGGGTCTGTGTGCTCTGCCTAGCCAAGGAATCCTAGAAGGCTGCCAGTACAGTCAGAATTTAAAAAAACCTGCTATTACTAAAACCAAAAATCAAGTCAGCAAACATTAGTGAGAGGCAGTGCAGAATACGGGAAGTGCCCTTAGAGTGAAGGCAGAAAGAGGATATTTCAGAGAAGAAAAGCAGAGAGCTGGTAAGTGAAGACTGGCAAGAATTAAATCCAAGTTCTGCTGTTGGCTTACTATGTGGTCTTAAAAAGGTGCTTGCTTTCTCAGTGAAACAGGGATATTTATCTAGTTCCCAGAGTAATAGAGCAATAATCTTGTAAGTATTTAAGATACAGAATGCTTTGCAAATGCAGAATATTTTCTCAGAAATAAGTAGTGTCAGGCTGAGCCTGTGTTTGAAGAGCAGCTTATGAGGAGATCAGTCTTGAGTTCCAGCTCTTTGCTTTTTTAATGGATTCTGAAGTGTAAGTCAGAGGGCTTGCAGGTACTCGTGCCTTCTTCCTGCTGCAGTCAGTGAGTGTCCAAGTGTTCTTAAGCCTGATTCCAAATCTCGTGTTTCTGAAATTGCGCTGCTAGTGCTGGATATGACGTTTTTGGAGTATCAGTAACTTGACACAGCTATGGCTACACGCGTCCCAAGGTAGTTTTTATGTGCGCTGTGCTAGAGGCCGGTAATGCCGTGGCTAGTGGCACTGTGCTTGCAGCTCTGATTCTTCGGTGTGTGACTGGAGACTGTCTTTTGGTGCTGACTAAAATATCTTTGTGTCTAGCTATGTGAACATAACCTGAGCAAACCAGAATTCAATCCAACATCTATCAAATTCAAGATCCAGCTGGTTGCTGTGTAAGTAAGATACGGGGATTGGGGAGAGCAATGCCTGTCAACACTTAGTTAATGCTTTCTATTTTCATTTCTTTTGTGCTCTTGATTTGACCCCTTGTATGGTTGTGTCATCTCTTAGGATGGTGTAATCACCTTTTTAAACCTATTTAGCTTATGTGTAATAGGTTTGCTTCCTGATCTACTAAAAAGTTTGCTGAAGATTTTAGCAGTTTGAAAAAGGCACTGCATGCTGTGCCAGCCCCACACGGTAGCAGGATTTTGTAGGATTAGGCTTCTGTAGCAAAAGGGCACTTCATTTTTCTTTTTAATGTAAGCTAAGCTCTAATAGCATTGAATGAGTTAGATGGATGTCTGCGAATACATCCTTCTACTTCGAGAGGCAGGTTATCAACAGCAACACAGTCTGTCACGGTCGTTTGCTTTGTTCTTGTTGTAGTAACTATATCCCTGAAGTGAGAATCATGTCTATTCCCAACCTGCGCTACATGAAGGTCAGTAGTTTTTTTCCAGAAACACCTTGGGGTGAGACACAGCCGGGAGGTGCGGATGTGGGATCTTTTTGGAAAATGACATGGTGTGATGATTGTTCCCTGAGGGCTTTGCTCTCTCTGTTTAGAGAGGGTGCAAGGTTTAAGGGAGTGGTCAGAATAACGCTGCATGTACTTGTCACTCTGCAGGAGTAGATTACCGTGCAGTGTGACATCTGGCATCACAAGCACACGCCAATATCTGAAGAATAAAAGGTGTGGAGTTGAGATCTTGGCTAGATTCCAAAGACGTGTATTTCATATATTAAGAAGGAGTGCTGCATGGCATTGACACCTTTCTTATGGACTGGGGGTGTTTGTTATCCGTCTCTTGGTGGGATGGATATGTGATGCAGTTTTTTGAAGGTGTTGATCAGTCACAGAAGATGGAGGTGCTAATGATAACGATGAATTTTAGAGGAATTGCTTCTTGAACTGTGATTCCTGAATCTCCCCAGGAGAGTCAAGTCCTTCTGACTCTGACCAATCCAGTGGAGAACATCACACATGTCACACTGCTGGAGTGTGAGGAGGGAGACCCTGACAACATCAACAGCACTGCCAAGGTATTGTACCCTCCTGCTGTGCGAGCCCAGGCCTCTGCCAAGGCTTTCCACTCCCTTTTATCCTTCCACAGGTCACACTTTCCATGTGTCCTTCAGTCCCTGCTGACTGTCTTGCATTTTCCTCCTTGGAGCTTAAATGACTGTCACCAATGTAAACATCAGCTCATAAAGTATTTCGAAGTTGCATCTGTTCTTTGAGTACCAGACCCCAAGGGAGAAATACACGGTTTCACTGGTAGAGTGGTAACCAGCTGGTTCCAGAGTGGAGGAAAGCCGAGGATGAATCATGTTTCTGTTAAACCGTAGTAAAGCAGCCCTCAGAAGGCGAGGGCTCTCTCCTGCTCGCGGTGTAGGTGGTGATCAGTGCTGAAAGGCTGCTTCTCTTCGTGTTCTGTCTCAGGTGGCAGTTCCTCCCAAGGAGCTTATTCTGGCTGGCAAAGATGCTGCGGCAGAATATGATGAGCTGGCAGAGCCTCAAGACTTCCAGGATGACCCTGAGTGAGTGTTTTCTGTCCTGTGGGGATTCTGGCACTTCAGCCAAGTAACTCGTTTTCCTCTCTGTCTTCAGCATGTTTTGGGGTTTTTTTTCCAGGTTTTCTTGGGGGTGGTGGTGTTTTTTTGGGGGAGTCGGAGATCAGCAATGCAAATCTTTCTGCTTGTGGTTTGGACTATTCAGGAGACGTTTGTTCCCTTTGAGGCAAGGTGTGCTGTTAGAGCAGTTGAGTTTTAGGTGGTGGTACTAATTCTCTCCAGGAATACTCTGTGTAATCCTTCCCTTTGCAAGCAGGGGGTTCACGGTGGCGGTGAGAACTACACAGTAGGGTGTGTGACAGAGTCACCTCCAGCCTTCAAAATGGAATACGTTCTGCAGCCTCTTACAGAGCAGCTTGAGCTGCGTACTGTGGCCCTTCCCTCGTTGCACAGCTGGGTACATAACTCCCGTGGCCGAAGCAGGCGTGTTGTGTTTGAGCGATGTGCCAGCAGCTGTCAGCGTAAAGGGGGGAACCCACGTTCCGATCCTGAGGGGCTGTGAGCCCCCTGCAAAAAAAGCAGCAGGGAGTAAGCTACAAAGCAGGGCAGCTGTTCTAGCAGGGCCCACGGGCCGTAAACTGAGCATCCCTCTTAATGTGGCGTCAGAATAAATCTCTCAGAAGAATGGTTTGAGAACTTGGCTGACCCAGTGTTCTTTTGTTTTCTGCCTTGCAGCGTTATTGCCTTCAGAAAAGCCAATAAGGTAGGAGTTTTCATCAAGGTCACCCCGCAGAAAGAAGAGGGCGAAGTGACCGTGAGTTTCAAGATGAAGCACGAGTTTAAAATCCTCACCGGTCTAATCCGGCCCAGCGAGGAAGGTGATCATACCTCTGGGGTTGTCTGGCTCACCCATCACGTGGAGCTCAGCCTCGGTCCAGTGCTCCCGTAAACGCTCCCAACGCTTGCGCCCCGACGGCTGGCCGCAGGACGGGCTGTCGCAGTGAGGAAAGCGCCTGGCGAAGCTTTCTGCGAGAGCTCCTTTGTCGTGTGTGGGTGTGTGCCACGGGCCCCAGCCGGGCCGCGAGGAGGTGGCTGAGGGTGCCGTGGTTTGGGATGGTTTGTTCTCTCTCCTCTTGTCGTAGTGCCCACTAACTACCGCTCTGCTTCCCCACGCCGCCACAGGCTAGTTTAACTTGCAGCACGTGTCTCAGCACAGAGGAAGAGCTCGCTCTCTCCAGATCTGCACTACGCCTGGCTGAATTTGGTTTTATCAACAGAAAAGAACCCGTATTGTTTTTTCTTCATGTCAGCCCACAAACCTGATGTTACCTACTCAATAGCAAACAAATTCGTTTTCACACAGAGCCGTGCCCTTCCTGAACAAACATTTTAAGAGGTGGCCATGTCTGCCGCGTTATTGGCAGCAGCACGATGGTTTCTTTTGGGTTTTCTGCTTCCTCGTAGGATACCTCAGCTGCAGGGAATTGGGGCATCCAACCCTACTACTCTGGCATACGTAGCTCGCTTAGCCAAGGCGATCCGTCTGTTTTCAGAAAGGAAATGATCAGTTTGCCTTTAAACTCACAACGTAGCGTACTGTAGTGTTCACGGATTTGACTGGCAGCCGAGCCCGCTGTCAGCCCGCTCTGTTGCGGGTGGATGTGGGAACACGATGTGCTACGAGCTGGGAATTCAGGTTCTGGTACAGCTCTTGAGTGAGGCAGGGGCGCTCCGGAGAGGCTGCCTGGCAGTCTTCGGATCAATTAACGTGTGTTAATAGGGGGAGGGATCAGAGTATGAAACCGGGAGAGTTAAGATGAGGTCTGGTATACACAAAACTACAGAGGCTGTTTGAGTTCATCCTCTGTCTTTTTTTCAGTTAGGGCGGGAGGGAGGTGTAAAGGGGGAAAGACGGTTACACGTTAACTAGCACACGCGGTACCACAAGGTAATTTATCCGGGGTGTAATTGGGCTCTAGTCCAAGCTAAGTAATTAAGAGCGGTGTATCCAGGGTGCTGAATTCCCAGTAACAGTGCAAGCGGGTGAGATGGCTCTTCCTGCAGAGCATTCCCAGTTCAGACATCGACCTTTTGTTAAACGTTTCCCATGGGCTCCAATCTGCTGCCCCGCTGGGAAAGCCGCGCACACCGGCCGGCCACGGCGGCCTTGCCGGAGCCACGCGTGCCACGGCTGTCTTGCCGGAGCTGCCAGTCCTCCGCGCAGCAGGGCGGGATGAGGCTGCCTGCTCACCGGGGGGTGCGGCACCCGAAAACATCTTCCGCAGCGTGAGAAGCCTGCCTCGGCGTCCCTCGGCGTCCTTCAGCGTGCCGGGAGGCAGCCTGGTTCCCACCGCTGGCCCCGGGGCGGCGAGGCATCGCATTTACCACTTCGCGTAGGTTACGCGCAGAGTTTACAACTTGTAGTTTGTAGTTCACGTCTAGTGCTAGTGCCTGCTGCGGCTTTACCTCTCCAGATAACGAAGCGCTTAACCTTTGGCTGTGAATTCTCCTCTTCGGTAGCCGAAATCGCCGCTACCCTTGCGACGCAAATACAGAAAAGAGCTTTTGAGGGACGAGCCAGTGGCCAGCCGAGGCCGGTGTCTGCACGACCCGCTCGCCAACGCTCGGTTTCTCACTGCAAACAAAAAGGTGCATCGATTTGTGACATTGCGAGTGGCCTAATTAGCTCCGTGAGGTTAATTTTCCCCTCCCTGTACGTGCTGGTAGCGATAGGAACAGTGTTGGCGTGTCCCTGTCCCCTTCCCCGCAGGCGGCTGTTGCCTTACTGCTTGACGTCGTGTAGTGACCTTCAATAAAGCAAACGTGGCTCTCAGATTCTTTGTGCTGGTTTTTACTCTGCGGTTCGTTAGAAAATAATAATTATTTTTAAAAAAAAA